GTGCTGTGCGTGGCAATCTCAGAGCACTTCTCCTTGTGGCGGGGCTGAGACTGGGAAACCTTGGTTTACCACTCCCAAACCCCCCTGGCTCAAAGCTGGCTGAGGGGGACCCTGGGACTTACGAGTTCTATGGCTCTGGTTGATAACTCCTCTCTCCCAGAACACCCTGGGCTGCACTTGGAGCTTCCCTCCTATCCCCAGTGCCAGGGCCAGCTCTCCAGCCCCATGCTGGCCATGAGCACCTGGCTCTACCCACAAGGAGCTTGAAGGTGGGGGAGGAAAGCAGATGGTGTAACACTAGGCTCAGGCTTCAAGAACACAGGGACTGTGGGCATGTAGACTGAGGACAGGCATCCCTGCTCCAGGAGGAAGAATGGAAGGTGTCAGAAGGAGAGGCTCATGCTGGGCGTTGAAGGATGAACAGGAGTTCACCGGGTGTTTCAGGAAAAGGCACAGATGTGCGACAGCTAGAGAGTTCTAGAAACCGTTCAGTGCTCTCGTGTGCCCCCCTGAGGGGCTCGGCCCTGGAGCTGCCAGGTTTCCTCTGGACCTGTCCTTGGCTGTTCTGCATTTGGACAGGAACTGTGGGCCATGCCCATCCACTCAGGCAGCCAGGCGAGCCAGGGTGTGGGGCTTCCTCCTCCACCACCGCCACTCTCCTTCCATGCAGGACCCTGCCTTGCCTTCAGGGAGGCCCCATCTGCATCCAACACCTGCCCACCTACCTGTGTATGTCTTTCCTCAACCCCCACTGGGGCAATGCAGGGCTGAGCTCTGCCACCAGCTGACTGTGTCACCCTGGGCAAGTCCTGGGCCCCTCTGGGCCAGTTTCCCTTTCTGAGGACACTAACCAGTGCAATTTCCACGGACCCTGTAGACAGTTGGCAGTCCCCCCGCTTATGGAAGGCCACAGCAAGGCTGGAGGTGGGGCCTAAGGGAGGCAATATGTATGGGAGGGGGTGGGGGACCAAGTGTGAAAAAGAGCAGAGGCTTTGGGGTCAGAGGGACCTGGCCACCTCCCTCTGCCCCTGGAGTAGCAATTCCCTCAATTGGACAGTGGGGATCACTGCCACCCCATGGGGGCTGCAAGCTTTAGCTCCACTGGGAAAAAGTCACAGCCATGCCTGGCAGACAGGGCAGTCAGCACATGTCCTGTGCTGGCACTTCAACATGAAGCCGTTTTTATCCCACACCAGCTTCAGATCTGGTATTTCAGATTTTATAGGTGAAGTTAAAGGTAAGCACTCAGCCCCGGGAAGGTGGATGGAGGGGAGAGCCCCCACTTCTTTTCATTCCTGCTCCACATTTTCTAAATTTAGCTTTCTTATTTTAACATTGCAAATGGTGAACTCCCTGACACCTTGCAGAAGATCAAAGTCAGTCTTTAAGAAGGCTCTTTGGAAGAAAGCATTTGGAAGAGAAACGTATGAAAGCATGGAGTACACCTGCCATTCTTCCCAATAAAATAACATACAAAGGGGGTGGGGGGCCTAGCAGCCAGCTGGCACCCACAGGGGCCTGCGTTGTGAAATCTAATCCACAGGGGGCTTCCTCGGGAGCCCTACATGTCCCCCTGCCTCAGGCAGGTCAGAACTTGGGGTTGATTCAAGGCCACCAGCTTGGACCAGATTTCAGGGGCAGAGATTTGTGTGGCATTTGTTCCAAGTGAAGTTGACAGGGCAACAATCTACAAAGTCCTTTTCTGTGCATCATCTCCCCTGCTCATCATAATAGGCCCACTTTACAGATGAGGAAACTGAGGCTCAGAGGACAGAAGCACCCAGTAAAGGCCCCACTCAGGTAGGGGACATGATTAGGATCTGAACTGGTCTCCTGGCTCTGAATCCCACAGGGTAGCAGGCAGCTTAGGCCTGTGCTCAGCACAGGAGAGGGGCCAGGCAGCAGAGTATAAGGGGAGGGCATCCAACAGCCATACCTAGCACTCACTGAAGCCTGATTGGGTAGTCCATAACTGAGACTCATATTACACTAGTGGTAATACTAACATATCACAGTAGGGATAGCAATCAGCAAAGAATTCAATGAAATGCTCAATCAGAAGAGCTCACTAGGAAGGTGTAAAAGCATCAGGGCTAATGCTGAGCTGAGAAGCAGTGCTTCTGGGTTCTGGGATCTGGGGCTGGCAGGGAGGTGGGAGGATGGGAAAGGGGATGAGAGATGCTGTGAAGCCAGGCCTCCCTCCACCACAGGCAAATGCAGCCTTCTCTCCTGGCCTTGTGTCCGGGTTCATTCATACATCACTCATTCATTCAACAAATGTGTGCTGAGGGCTTGCTCAGGCCTGGAGCTTGGGAGACACACCCACATGAAAATAATTGGAGGGGGTCACTGTGCCTCCAGCTCCATAGTGGGAGCTACAAATCATAGTTCTCCAGCAGGCCTGGCCAAGGAACCTTGGCCTGAAGTGGGCATGTGACAGGAGCCAGACAATCCAAGTCCTTCCCTGAGACTTGTCATAGAGGAATGAAGGAAGGAGGCAGCCCTAGCTGGTGGCTTCTGCCTTGTGAATGAACCTGCATGAGGCCAATGCCTGGAACACAGCAGGGGTGGCAATGGCAAGAGAGGGTCCCACCAACTCTCAGCCTGCCGTGGCAGGAAAGGTCTGAGAATGGAGCCCAACCACACCTCTGGCCTAAAGTGGCTCGACTCCTGCATCAAGCCAGAATAGTACTAAATACTCTCAGCTGCCATATCTGAGCACCCACTGCATATGGCCCTACCAGGAGGTGACCCAATCTAATTCTCTCTCACAGATGGGTACTATTAGTTCTCATTTTACAAAAGGTGAAACCAAGGCACTGGGCAGCTAAGCAGCTTGGCTAAGGTCACACAGTAATGAAAGGCAGAGGCAGGGATGAAGTCGAGGTCTGTCTGATCACAATGCTCATTTCCTGTTGACAGGCCACACCTGCAGTTATTCACAGAACACCTACCATGTGCCAGGGGCCAGGGATACAGCAGGGAGCAGGACCCCCAACCAGTGGAGCTTATCTCCCACTGCAAATGTGTGTGTTGGGTTGGGGGAAGGAGGCTGAGAGACGAGCTACTTCCCTGAGGCTCATCATCTGTGCAGAGGCCTGAATGAGGGAAGGGGGAATGGTGGGTGCAATGGGTGCACAGAGGAGGGAGCCCTTAGCCTACCCAGGCTGGAGGTGATTGGGTGGCTTTGTAGGTCACAAGAGCTCCCACCTCAGAGGAGAAACAGGTATCTGGGGTGGGGTGAAGAAAGGACAATGGTCAGGGTGTGAGCAGGAGGCAGCAGGCAGCCACATGGGCATGAGAAAATGCCCACATCCCACGCCAGGCTCTGAGCTGTGCAGACTCAGGCTCTGCTCCTCCAGTGGCTCTGCTCAGCCCAGTGGCAGTGCCCCATCCTTGAGGGGCCTCCACTTTTGCAAGGGACCAGGCGAGCTTGCTGTGAGGTATGATATTTTCACCAAATCAGCTGTTCTAGAGCCTAAAAATAGGAGTAGAAGGTGCTCCTGCCATGCCCAGCACAGCTGCACACAGGATCACCAGGCCCTGCACGCACATGGGCCTGTGGTGTGGGGACACTGGGGCCATACACTCACCCACCCCCTCTCCAGGTACTCAGCTCTAGCTTCCCCACCTCCAGACCAGGTGGCAGTAGGTGCGGCATCCACTGGACACCTGCTGTGTGGCAGGCTCTGTACTGCTGTGGGGTGTGAGGTGGCAGGGGCAGCAGGATGAAGGTTGGAAGGATTCATACCTCAGATCAGTCCCGTCTCAGGGCCTTTGCCCGATTCTTATCCTTGCATGGAATGCCCTTCCTGTGGACCCCAAAGAGATCCCCAAGGATCCTGTGGATACACTGAAATAAATGTCCTCACACAGCAGCCCTGGGCCAGCTCCAGTCCCCCTCCCAGGACAGGGACACCTATTGTGCCTGACTCCCCCACAGACTTGACTTCTCTGACCCTCACAGCAAGCCTGCAGACTGGCTCTTCTGATCACTCACTTTATAGATAAGGAAACTGAGGACAGGAGAGAAGAGGTACCCTGCCCACTGTCCCAGCTACAGTGATAGTGGAGCTGTGCCAGGAATCTGGGTTCTGGGAGAGGCGAAACTGGAAGCCCACCTCCTCCTGTTTCTGCCCCCGCCCTGGCCCATAGCTGCCTTCTCACAACCTCTGCATTTCCCCCACTGATTCCCCTGCCAGGGATGCCCTCCACCAGGAAACCTTCCAAGATACCTGTGGTCCCCCACCCTCTCCTTTTTGGTGGATCCTTGGGTTCATGGGGCAGCACCTCAGTTATGATTCCAGCGGGGCTCAGTGCTCACCAGCCTGCCCAGACCCGGGAGATGGGCTTCTTCCCAGCCTGGCTCTCAAGGCTCCCCAAGGGCTTCTTGCTTTTGCACATCACTCCTTCACAGGGCCAGACATATTCCCCTAGAGTGCACACACCCAGCTGGTGTTGGGCAAGGAGCAGCCAGAGCACTCCAGGGACCAGCTGGCCACCCTGCATGGGAAGGGTGAGAGGGCCCAGGCCCTGTGAGGCTGGTAGGGCCTGCTGTGCTCTGGCACAGAGTTCCTGAGGCAGCTAAAACCCAGGGCCCCCACTGCCTCAGAGGACTCCCTTGTTGGCACCACCTGAGCAGGGCTGTCCCCAACTCAAGCCTCCATGATTCTTATCTCCAGAGCCCCAGTAGGCCTGGGAGTAGGGAAGTAAGAGGAAACTGGTAACGTATATTTGTGGCTGAAATAACGTAAGAAATAGCAAACACTTGCATTTATTGGGCATCACCGGCCACCTGCCAGGTGCTTTCACTAATGTAGTCCTCACAACCCTGAGACAAACAGATCTTTGTCCCCATTTACAGATGAGGAAATTGAGGCTCAGAGAGTGGTAGACACAGTCTCCACCCAGGTCTGACCCAAAAGCGAACCTCAGTGCTGACTCACACCCATACCCCCAGGAAGAAAGGGAGCCAAGGGGCACGGCCAGCATTGGAAGATTTAGTGCCAGATCTTAATGTCCCCTCCCCAGGAGCAGGTGGCAAGGACAGAGGGCAGCACAGGGTGGTAGGTGGTTCTGACACAGGCCTGCATGTGTCCCTGCAGTGGGCACACCTGGCTGGCTGTGCAGAAGCTGTACATCAGGATCCGGCCATCAGTGCTGCCTGTCACCAGCAGGTCACTGCCCAGGGAGCACTCACAGCCCACTGAGTAGCCTTCCACTTGCAGAGGGCAACACAGAGTTGGTGAGCAGGCCACACCTATTCCTTGAGGCTACCTGTGAGGCAGGGGTTATTAGACCTATTCTACAGAGAAGCAAGCTGAGGTCCAGGGCTGGGCCTCATACCCAGTATTCCTGAGGCCAAAGCCCAAGCTCCTTCCATGAGGCCTAGAGCCCTGGCAGGGGGCTAGTTCAGAATCCAGTTGGAACAGGTCCAGCACAACTGTTGGCTTTGCTGACAGTCACCGAGTCCTGGCCCCTCTACACCAGCAAGGCAGACTTCAGTGGGGAAAGGTGAGGATGTAGAAATGGCACCCATGTCCTGTCCCCATGTCCCCCCATCCCCAGTGACCTGTCTGTATGAGAGCATCTGGGGCTTGGGGCCAGGTCAGGGATGGGGATACCTTGTGCTCTTAGTAGCACTGCCTTCTGCTCATGTGGTAGGGCCACACAGTGGAGAAGAGGGCCAGGTAGTTGCCATTGGTCTGTGCCAGGAACACAGGCTCCCTTGGGTGCAAAGCAAGGCTGGGGCAGGTGTATCTCTCCTGAGAAACAGCAGGGCCACAACAAGGTAGAAGAAGGCTCCCACCCTCAGCCTTCTGCTCAACCATCCACCCCACCCAGTGCTCTGCTCATAGGCCTTGTGCCCTCCTCCCAGACCTCAGCATAGGGTCTGTATGAGTTCCCCGTGGCTGCTGTAACAAATTATCACAAACCCAGTGGCTTAAAATAACACTAAGTTATCATCTCACTGTTCTGGAGGTCAGAAGTCTGAAATGAGTCTCGCGGGGCTAAAGTCATGGTGTTGGCAGGGCTGCCTTCCTTTCAGGAGGCTGTGGGGAGAATCCCCTTTCCTGTTTCAGGAGGCTGCCTGCCTCCCTCACGGTCATCTGAAAAATGGCCACAATACCTATGACCTAATTCCTGAGACCTTTGAATGTTACCTTATTTGGCCAAAAAAGGGATCTTTGCCAATGTAATAAGTTAAGGATCTTGGCCTGTGCAGGGGCGCACCTGGGGTCCTCCCACAGACCCAGAAGGAGAAGGATCCGACAGGATTAACCCCAGTGTTGGGACCGAGGGATCTCGGGGAAAAGTGAGCCTGCTTCCCGCCAACCCAGCCCCGTGAAAGAGACACTCAGACGCGGCAGGGGTTCTGTCAGGGCAGTTCCACTTTATTGCTGCTACACTGCAATTTATATAAGCAAGCAAGTAGGGGCTTTCCAAGAACTAACCAATCAATTAAAGGATCACATGGTCATGCATTTTGTACTAACATGTTGATTATAGCGATCAGGCAGAGTTCATGAGTGCGGAAATACTGGAGGACCGATAAAAACCTTTGGAGCTATCTTGGGTTATGCCTCCCCAACTTCCCATGGGCACCATCTTCATCCTCCACCCATAGGCACCATGTGGCTCACAGATAATGTTTGCTCCTAAAAATGGGCCCAACATCTCCCCCTATTTCCTTTATAAAAAGAACAACCCTGTAATGGGCAGTTGAAGGTGGCTCACCTCTCAACCTCGTTGGCTTTTTTGTGACTATGCCTGTCTTAGGTTGTCCCCCTCTGGGGATCTTACCCGTCATTGGCTAGACAGCCACTTGTGGAGAGCCAGCGGAGCCCCTTAAAGATTACTGTGGATTTTTTTGAAGGGCCATATTGACCCAAGGGTTTTGGTGGTTTTTTTCCTGGGCCACATTTTCTACCACTTGAGTGAGCATAGTTATGGGTCCTACATTTCGTCAAACGAGAGCCATGATTTTAGTTAAAATTAAAGGACCAAACATTAGCACTAAGAAGAGGATTAAGAGGGAGCCCACTAAGGCAGATATTAAGGTGGTAAGCCAGGGAGAACTGTTAAACCAAGACTGAAACCAGCCCTCATTGGCCTCTCTTTCTCTTTTATGCTTTTCCAAGCCCTCTCTAACCTTTGTCATAGATTCTTTTACTATTCCAGAATGATCGGCATAAAAGCAACATTCTTCCCTGAGAGCTGCACATAAGCCTCCCTGTTGTAAAAAGAGGAGGTCTAATCCCCTTCTATTTTGTAATACAACTTCGGAAAGAGAAGTTAATGATTTTTGCAAATGGGTAACTGATGTTTCAAGCCTATCTAGATCTATGTCTATAGCCTGGGAGGGTGTAAGTATTTTCTACTCCAGTAGCCCCCGCCCCAGCGCCTACAATCCCCAATAAAGTACTAATGGTAACAGCGGCCCCTAGTGCTCTTTTACTGCGGTGAGGAAAGTTACTTGTCCAATATTGAAACATTTCTTCCCCTTTATGCCATAATATTCGGGGAATAATTTCTACTGATACACATTTCATGAGATAAGGACTGATTAAACACACAAGCAGTAAGCCCTGATTTGGTGCATAACTATTGCCCAAGGCGGGATTTAGCCCAGGTGCTGTTGAGGATAATGGTATTGGAACAAAGGGATGGGTTGTTTACACCAACACATAATCCTTTCCCCAACATATGTTGTATGGTTAAACCAGGGTGGGTTCTGTTGTAATTAATGGCCTACTGGGTGCTGTTAGTGGGGAGGATGGTTACGTTACTTAACGCCACAGCCTCAAAATATGGGGGATGAACATCATAACATAACCAACAATCTTTTGTCCAGGTTTGTTGCACTGGTAGGTGATTGGTTCCCCATGAGCCAGAGAGCCAGATGGTCCACAGGATGACCAGGTGATGCATTATGCTGCTGTTGATGGTGTCAAGGACAAAGGCAATCAGGATTGGAGCGAAACTCTCCCACAAGGATTAAGAGGCAGGTTCACCTGGGTTGTCGCATAAGTCTCCTGAAAGAGAAGAATTTGCCTCAGGGTCATTGTTGTCCCTGGGCTGGGTTATTGGTTCAAGATTTTGAGGTACAAATTTAAGGTTTTTGACCAGTATCCATATGGGGCAGAGTTCATCAAAGAGGAATACACACCCAAATCCCCTTCCCATAATTAGGAGTGGGTCAGGTCCTCTCCAGTGTCCGGAAATGGGGTCTTTCCATCTAACTTGGAAAGATGTTTTCTGTCAATTAGACCAGTGCTTTTGAAAAGGTGTCATTAACTCATTTTTGTCATTAACTCATAGACTCGAGGGGATCCCCCAGAGATATATGAATCCATTGTAAGGGTTTTCCCTCTTGAACTGGGACTGCCATGAGGATGGTGGGATTAGGCAGAATCCATAATTGCAAGTCTTTTGAGGGAGAGTATCTAGCAAGCTGAGCCTGGTTGAGAGAATTTTGAACCTCTTGTAAGAGCTGTTTATGTGCAACTGAAAGCGAGATTTTGTCATGAGGCAGGCTGTCCCTTAATAGGTTAAAAAGAGGTAATAGCTGGCCCATTGAAATGGGAATCCAGGGCCGTAGCCAATTAATTTCACCTAAAAGGCATTGTAAATCAACCAAAGAACGAGAATCTGGTATACAAAGTTGAGGGTTTAAAGGACTAACACCTTTCAAGGTTAACTGGGTACCTAAAATTTGAAGAGGTGGAACAACTTGGATTTTATCAGCTGCAACATGCAAGTTACCCTTTGTAAGGCACATTTGCAGGACTTTATATGCCTCGGCTAATTGGGAAGTATTTAGGGCTCCTAAGATAATATCATCCATGTAAACGTACATTTCAACATGGGGGAGCCTTTTGACAGGTTGGAGTAATTCATAAACATAGTTTTGGCAAAAGGACCAACTATTGGCCATACCTTGAGGCAAACCCATCCATTCAAAATGTTTATCTGGCCCCTTAAAGTTAGTTGAGGGGACCAAAAAGGCAAATTTTTCATAATCCTGTTGGTTTAAAGGAATGGAAAAGAAGCAGTCCCTAATATCTATAACCATGAGGCACAAGTTACTAGGGATGGCCGGTACCCAAGGCAGTCCCCTTAGGGGGGTTCCCTGTAGCAACATTCTTTCATTAATTTTTCTAAGATCCTGTAACAATCTCCATTTTCCTGAAGACTTTTTAATGGCAAAAATAGGGGTATTCCAGGGGCCAGTGGATGGGCGAATATGTTTTAATTTTAATTGTTCTGCGATAAGTTCCTCAAGTGCTTGCAACTTATTAGCTGGGAGAGGCCACTGCTCCACCCAAATTGGGAGTCCTGGTTTCCAACAGATAGGAGGGACCCGGGGGGCAGTGGCCTTTAGGATTGGGGTGCACCTTCCATCTTGTAAGTGGCTTTCCTTCCCGCATGTTTTGGAATTCGGGGTCCCCTCTATAATTTGGGCAAGAAGAGAGGTTGAACTGCTGCTGGTACTCCTCCTCATCTAAAATGTCATCATAAAATTCTTTAGAATCAGTGGTGATATAGGCATCTGCTTGTTCCAGAATGTCTTGGCCTAGGAGGTTTGCATTAAGTCCTGCGGCTATAAGAGGTTTGACTTCCCCTCTTGTGCCATCAGCATCTTTCCAGGGGAGCTAGACAGCAGTTCTTTGGACTAAGTATTTCCTCCGACCCCCATTATTTGTGGTCCTGGGACCAACCTCCAGCTATTAGGAACTTCCTCCTCCTCTCTAAGGACCGTGCAGTCAGCTCCAGTGTCAATTAGGCATCAGAAATTTTCCCCCCAATCATTATATCCATTTTGGGTCTTAACTCAGGCACAATAGGCACCATCCAGTTAGCCCTTGCAGGTTTTCAGGCTTTGTTAACTCCTGTTAGCTCTGTGGGGGGTCGGTATGAGTTGCACCTGGGTTTAGGTTGACTTAGACGGTTTCTAACTTGTTTTGGTGGAAAACGGGGTCCCCCTTGGGATGACGGGGCTAGAGGCTGCCCCTTTTCTAATTTAAAGGATTGCCATCCTTATCAAATTTAGATTTACAATCTGCCTTCCAGTGGTAGACCTTTTTGCATCTTGGGCATAGGGTGGTGGGAGGTTTTCAGCTTTTCGGTTTTGAATTATTTTGGGGACAGTTATTTTTAAAATGTTCCTGTTCCCCACAGCCAAAGCAATGGCCTGTTTGATTACCAGAGAGGCTGTTTCCAGGGGAGGTCATGGTATTAAAGGCCTTAGTCATTGCCTCGGTGAGGGCATCAATTTGGGCTTGGAAGGCAGTAGCAATGGTGCGGGCCTGATGACCTTGGGTCCCCACATCCCTAGAGATGATAACCCACCTTTCTACTGAGCGGTCCTTTTGACCTGCGAAGGCCAGTTTGTGATCTGATGTCATTCCCTCCCATACCAGCATTTTAACAAACTGGTCTCTTAGGGGCCCTGCGGGGAATTTCCTTTGTATGCTTTTTCCTACCCTATCCATGAATGAAGGGAGGTCCTTATTGTTTCTGTGGGTGATGCCTGATATGGCGGACTCTGTAGGGCCCTCCACAAATTTTTTTCAAGCTGCTAAGCAGATGGCCCTAACCTGGTCTTGATATGGAGTGGAGATAGCAGATTGCTGAATTCCTGTGCTGTATTGGTCTGCCGTTCCAGATAGCATCCCAAAGGTTATTGGGATAACTGGGTTAGCAGCCTGATTCCTCTCTGCCTGAGCATGGCATTCTTCTTTTTAAAAGGTGCAGAATTTTT